AGGGGGGATAGGGAGAGAGAGAGAGAAAAAGAGAGGGAGAGGGAGAGAGGGAGGGAAGGAGGGAAGGAGGGAGGGACACACATGGTTGGCTGCCTCCTGCACACACCCGGACAGGGGGGCCAGGGATTGAGCCTACAACGGAGGTACATGCCCTTGGCCAGAATCGAACCTGGGACCCTTCAGTCCAAGGGCTGATGTTCTAACCACTGAGCAAACCAGCTGGGGCTCCTTTTTGTTTTTAAATCCTCACTTGAGGATATGTCTTTTTATTGATTTTTAGAGAGAGGAAAGGACGGAGAAAGAGAAACACTGATGTGAGAGAGAAACATTGATTGGTTGCCTCCTGTGCACACCCCGACCAGGGATTGAAACCACAACCTAGGTATGTGCCCTACATGGAATTGAAACCTGGAACCTAAAACCTTTTGGTGTACAAGACTTCGATCCAACCAACTGAACCACCTGCCAGGGCAGTAGTCTCCTTTTAATTGAAACATAATGACTCACCCACCTTCCCCTCAATAAAAATGAACATTTGTGAAAAATCAGGTTTAGTGTTCTGACATACACAGTTGAAATTGAAAAGAAACAATGCAAATGACCTATTTAGACTTATCCCAGGGAGTTCTAGGAAAATAAAGTACTGTATTGCTTAATAATGTTATTTCCTTCTCTTCAATATAAGACATCAGATAAAGTAAAATCTGCATGATTTTTGGAAGGGAAATGGCACTATCAGTGACAATCCTTGTTACCTATTCAAAATGTGACATATAGCCTGGCCAGGCGTGCCTCAGCGGTTGAGCATCGACCTAGGATCCAGGAGATTGAGGTTCGATTCCTGGCCAGGGCACATGCCCAGGTTGCGGGCTCAATCCCCAGTAGGGGCCGTGCAGGAGGTAGCTGATCAATGATGACTCTCTCATCATTGATGTTTCTATCTCCCTCTCTCCCTTTCCCTTCCTCTCTCTGAAATCAATAAAGATATATTAAAAAGAAAGTGACATATAAATAAATTCTTCAGGCCAGGACTTAGGGGAGTGTGCTATGGTAGGCTAGACAGTCTCACTAAGTTAGTAAACTAGATCCAGAAAACTAAGTAATTTGTCCAAGGTGAGGCAGCTAATGAGTATCAGAGCCCCGACAAAAACCTAATTCATTAGATTCTGAGCCTGTACTCTTTATGAACCAATACAAAGCTATTTATGTTTGACTTTGGAGTGAATCTTATGATTCTACAGAAACAGGAAATTCATCTTGGTAACTGTTTTGCCCTGATGTTTAAATATAGTCTGCCTTCCTAAATCATTGCAATTTGTTGGTAGTACTGATGACTCACACCTTTAGTCACAAATGGAAAATTGAAAGCAAACTTTCTAATCTGGATTTTTGGTATTAAAAATATATACCAACATGATACTCCTAGGGATACTTTCAGTTAATTCTTAAAAATATTACTGGATGGGAAACAAGAAATTCACCCACTATTCAGGAAAAGAAAATCCTTTAACCCAGCTGAGTAACACAACTTGAATTTGTCTAATAACTTTTCTTATATCTACACTGATTAAGCTTCAAGTAGGCCAATCGCCCAAAGGTGGAGAGCTAGGTAGAACTACTTTGTGGTTAAGATGGCATTGGAGAGATCAGCTTTATTATGGGATGGTTTAGTAATTTCAATTTGTAGCTGTCAACATATGGAAGAGAGAAAGAAGAACAGGTTTGTCAAAAGTAAAATGATAAACCTGATATTAGCCCAGGGAGCCAAGGCTAAGTATCTCTATCCTGAATGTCTTCAATTTTGATAATCATTCCAGATTAGGGTCTAGAGAATTGCAGTAGTTAGACTAAAGATGAACTCTAGTCTTTTCACATGTTTGTGAACATATAACATTATTGGCTTCTAAAGACTTTTGGATTATAAAAGCACTTGTTCTAATCAGTGTGGTCCAAAAGGCTGTGAATGTTCTGATTACATGTATATGTATTTATAAGCTAAATTGTTTTAATCGTTTAGCTAAAAGCAAAGTGATTTTAAATGAGTTAAAGAGCTATAAAATGAAGGTCACTACTGCCTCCTTGTGGATATGAAAGAATCCATCTTTACTGAGAAGTTAATTTTTACTTACCACCAGCTATTAAGGAAGCCCTGCTATAAAATGGACCCTGAAATACAAACTGTCGAAGTCTTACAATAACCTCATAAAGTAGATATATCACAATTTTATAAATTAGTAAAGAAGGCTTAGAGAAGTAGTTTTCCCACAGCCAAGTATCTAGTGAATTAATAAATTAGTATTTGAATGCAGATCTGAATGTACAATTCTATGTATATGCTCTTTCTATTTTACAACCCTGTCTCTCAATAACACTTCATTCAACATCTTCCTTTGATATTATATCAACTTAAATAGGAATACAATTGCCTATTTTTAAATGAAAGTCAGAAACAGGAAAAAAAACAAGAGTCAGCTAGAAAATTTATGTAAATGAGGATATAAGTTCCTTTGTTGTAAAACAAATATTTGTAAAGAGATGTTGAAAACAAGTTCAGTTTTCTCCTTTTTAGATAGATGTTTTTGTTAAAAACACACATGTTTCAAAAGATCAACACCAGGTGCTTTTTTTGTTATTTTGTTGTTAAATGTATTCTCAAGAACAAACGGAGATTCTTATACTTTATTCAAATAATCACATGTACCTCTTTTGTATCAGCATTCCAACAACCACTTATGTTTCTTCTGCTTTATTTGTTACTGCTTTAGATTATGAATATTTAACTATCTTCCTTATCAGTACTATATTGAAGGACCCCTATATTTTCATTTTTTGGGTCAGGCATAACCCTTCAACAGATTAATGTGTAGAATATTTTACTTTTAACACAGTAAGTACCCAGGTAGGGATAACCCCTATGTATGATCTTCCCTTACCCTAGGAAGAATAAGTGCATTAGCTTTAAAATCTATTATAAATCCTCTATTTTGGGGGAAGATTTTAATAAAGGAATATCAGAGAGGCTATCTATCCATTTCACAGGAAAACCTGGGATTCTGTTCATTTTAAGTCTAAAATAAATGCCACACTATCAGAATATTACCTGAGGTTGTTTTGGTGTTGGCTGAAGAAACAAGGCTAGCGAGGTTGACAACTTCTCCTGACGTGAAGATAAATGGGGTAGCCATAGTCACAGGGTTGGCTCTTTCAGGATTAGCATTCACCTGATTCTGCATTGCTTCCTATAAAACAAGATGGATATTTTAAAGTCAGAACACTTTTTAGCCTTAGTTATACAGTTACTAAGAGCCACCCCCACCCTCAATGCTCTATCAAGTAGAACTAGTTCTAGCACACAATGTCCCAGGGAGCTCAGAGTTCTCAGTAAGACCAATGTTTATTTTTTGTTTTCCAACCAGGAAAACGGAGATGTTAAGTTGCTTTCTCAAACTTATTTCTTCTTTAGGAAAAAAGGTGTATTATGTGCAAAAACTTCTATACAATTCACTTAACCTCTCTGGAGCTTGTGTTTTTATTTGAAAAAATAAGGGGGGCAGCCTAAAAAGTAATTTCCAACACTAATATTCTATGATCCATTATCTACAAATCAATGCGCTAGCAGGAGATCCCTACAGAGAATCTACAGACAAGAATATTCTTCAAAGTTTTGTCCAACAACTTGTTCCATTCTGCCACTGAAGAATTCCTCAGAGAATATATAACAAGCAAATAAATAAGTGCCAGATTTTAAAGTCTAGTTTCATATGCTGCACTTTGCTTCCAGGAATGTGTGTACAATTTTGGTGTAAAGAAACTTATCTTTATTTTCTTTTACTTTCAAAAGCAGTTTTCTACAAACATGGTCACTACTAAAAAAGTCCCAATTATGAAAGAGCTCTATACAAGGAATTGAAAGTTGAAGAGGATAACCAGTTTATAGGGAACCGTCTGTAAAAAACAACAAACAAGCCACTGAAAATACAGCAGAAATGTCTACCTATTTTTCATATATAATTATCCCCTTGACTAAGAGCTTCAGCCTGAAACAGATTATCCATTCTCTGGTTACTGTTAAATTCCTTCTTGAATATGCCCTTCTTCTATCCTATCACCTCCTTAACTCAAGCCCTCATTGGCTCTTGCCTAGCCTAATGCAAATCACTATATGGTTCTTTAATATTAAATCTTCTCTCTCCAGTCTGTATACCACACTCCAAATAATCACCTTTTTAAAAAAAGTCTAATCATATGGCCCTGGCTGGTGTGGCTTAGTTGGTTGGAGTGTCCTCTCGTGCACCAGAAGGTCATGGGTTCAGTTCTTGGTCAGGGCACATACCTAGGTTGCGGTTTGATCCCCAGTCAGGGTGCATATGTGAGGCAACCGATCCATGTTTCTTTCTCACATTGATGTGTGTTTTTCTCTCTCCCTTCCTCCCTTTCTTAAAAAAAGTCTAATATCAATCATATATTTTAAACATTCTATTGGATTCCTATTACCCACAAAACAAACTCCTTTATATGCATGTAACACCCCTATGCTGAGAACCTGGCCTCTCAAGTGTTAGCTCCCAAATTCCACTTCCCTTGCCCAGTCTCCAGTCACAGAACTACTTACTCTGAATATTCCATGTCCTTTCACACTTCTATGTCTCTGATTTGCTCTCTTTCTAGCCTAGAATATCACTGTCTCACTTCTCTGTCTACTTCTTCAAAATTCAGTTCAGATTCTATATCCACTTTAATTTTTGCCTTAAGCATCATTAATACTCCTTATTCTGTACTCCTGTAATAGTTGGTAGATATCTGTTTATCACCAGAGTATTGTCTAAACTTCATCAGGCTAAACACTCCAAAGGCAGGGCATGTCCTATTCATCTTTGTATCTCTTATCCTGTTATTTCCTGATATACAAATGTTGGCTTAAGAAATTAATGGGTGGAATCATCACAGCTAACTTTTTTTTTTTTTAATCCTCACCTGAGGACATGCTTAGAGAGAAGAAAGGAGGAAAGGAGAGAGAAAGAAAAAAACATCGCTGTGAGAGAGAAACATTAATCGGTTGCCTTCTGTACATGCCCCAACTGAGGACGAACCCAAGACCCAGGTATGTGCCCTTGACTGGGAATTGAAATGGCAACCTTTCTGTGCATGGGACAATACTCAATCAACTGAGCTACTCCAGCTGGGCAGCTAGCTTTTAATTCTGAGACGGCTTCCCTTAATTCTGAGATGACTCAGTAGGCTTTAGGGCTATGTACTGTCTTACATCAGTTGATGTACATTCAGAAAACATAAAGAGGCTTTTAATATATTTCCAAGTCAAATTTAACTAGAAAGAAAAATTTTCATGGAGAAAAAAAATCATTCTAAAGCCAAATAAACCTTGTTTTTGTGTTGGCCACCAACATTGTTATTCAATCACTATGAGTAATTCAGGGCTTTGTAGAATGTATATGTTTTTAAATATACTAATGACACTAATCACAAGATTAAGGCACATTAGAAGTACTCTTTGATAAGACAGAAAACATTCAGTTTTGATTTAGCTCCCACAATAAATCCTTAACTTCAATTGAAGTATACTCTGGGGATTTAAAAAAAAACCAGACCTGAAGGATGACCAGAATCTCAGCGTTGTTCTTCTCCAGGGCTATGTCAAAGGCAGATTTATCAAACTTGCTAAAAGCATGGACATCAGCTCCATATTTAATAAGTAGCTCTACAACATCTCGGTGGTGGTACTCTGTGGCCCAGTGCAAAGCTGTCATCTTCAGCATATCCTTGGCATTCACATCTGCACCATTCTGTCATAGAAAAGTAATGTTTTCATACAGACACTGGTTATAGCAGCACAGGTGCAAGATCCCATCACCAATACAGAGAATTTCCATAGATAACACATATTTAAATTTAGATCAAATTTAAGAAATACCAAAGGGAAAAACATTTCTCAAATTATCCTGATGTTGACAGACATAATACCTTCAATGAGTGGATCTTCTAAGGACATCACTGGGAAATTATAACAGATGGGAAAGGAAGGGGAAAAGAACAGAGTTTTGTTGCATTTATTAACAGAGCTGAGTGTCTGAAAAAATGGGGATAAATACAGAGAACACCTGCAGAAAGGAAATGAAAAAAAACACCCCAATAAAGTCTGTTTATCTTTCAAAAGATTGGAAAACAAAATTTTCATAGTCAATGCTATAAAATGTCCTCAACTTGATCTTCCCCAACTTAGTTTTCTACCACTCATTTAAGTAAGAAAGGGAGGTGGGCGTCCTTTTTACAATATAGACCCGCCACTATTCTAGCTTTACCCTAACAAGCAGTTCCACGATGTGTGCATGTCCATCGGCTGCAGCCATGTGCAAGGGGGTCCTGTCCACTTTGGTTCGGGCATCCCGGCTAACACCTGCTCGAAGGAGCACTTCTGCTGTGGAATAATGACCATACTGGGCTGCAAGGTGGAGGGGTGATGTTCCAAGCTGTGGGAAAATAATACTCATTGAATATCAACTGTGTGCAGACTCCTAAATCATTACTGGAGAGATACAAATGAACAAGAGGTGAGTTTTATGGTTCCTGCCCTTGGAGAGACAGCCTGGTTGGGTAGACAGGACTGAAGAAATGACTTAATTAAAAATTAATATACTAATAGAGAAATAAATATACCACCAATTAAACAAGTGCTAAATATAATAGATTTAAATCAGGTGGATTTATCAGGTCAGATTCCCTAAAGGACATGATTTGAAACAGGGTTTAGAAAAAGGTTAAAAAAATGGACAAACAAGATGATTCTGAGTCGGGTAAAGGTTCAAAACAATTTTTAGGAAAAGGGCAGAGACTAGAAAGTTGCATGTGGAACTTGGGGTGCCAATTTGTTTGGAATAGAAGTTTGTTACCACAGTAAAGCAAAGCAAAAAAGACCAAGAAGAGGCAATAAAAATTTAGCAATTGAGTATCAACAGCAATTAGCAAGTCTGTATTATCTCAAAGTAAATCTTCTAAGAGTTATCAGCATCCACTTTCACCAGAATTCTATTCCTGGGTTTGTGTTATGCTCTTTATTTTAAGCCTATTTTGCTTATTCTTTGCTTTTTATATATTCAGCCTCTGTTCCTGACTGGATTTAATTCACATTGCTCTTTTCAGGTCTATTTATAGAAATGCTCATCTCATGGGTTTCCTTTCTTCCTTTTTGTGAGGTGCTAAGAACCTGCTGTCCTCAGTCCTGGCCTATGTGGCTCAGTTGGCTGGAGCGTCTTCCCGTGTACGGAAGGGCTGTGGGTTTGGGGCACCTGCAGAAAGCAACCAATCGGGGTTCCTCTCTCACATTGACGTTGCTCGCACTCTCTCGCTCGTTCTCTCTCTCTCTCTCTCCCCCTCCCCCTTTCTCTCCTTTTCTCTCTCTCTAAAATCAATAAAGAAACATATCCTCGGGTGAGGATAAAGAGAGAGAGAGACTGTTGGCCCCTAAAGTTACGAATTAGCCACTCGAGAAAAGAGGACACTCATTCACTGTAGCCCACATTATAACCTGGACCTGGGTCTTCTAAAACTGCTCTCTGAGCTGGCTGTCTAGGATCATGAAATTATACCTTCCTCTTTAATGTTTTAGTTTTTAAAAATATTTTTATTGATCTTCACGGAGAGGGAGAGAGAGAAACAATGGTGTGTGATACATCGATTGATGGTTTGCCTCCTGTATGTCCCCTACTAGGGATGAGCCCACAACCTGGGCATGTACCGACTGGGAATCGAACTGGCAACCTTTTGGTGCATGGAACGATGCTCAACCAACAGCCATACTGGCCAGGTCCTCTTTAATATTTTTAAACAGTGGTAAGGCAAACACAATAGCTAGACTATTTCTTTTCTTTTTTCTTTTCTTTTTATTTTTTAGAGAGGGAGGAAGGGGGGGAAGAGAGAGAGAGAGAGAAATATCGATGTGAGAAAGACACCTTGATGAGTTTCCTCTTGTACGCACCCTGTCTGGGAATCGAACCTGCAACCTATGTATGAGTCCTGACCAGGAAATGAAGTAGCGACCTTCTGATGCTAGACTATTTTTATTAACTAGGACATTTTAGAGAAAAGAAAACAAGGAGTTTATTAGGCTAGAAATGCACTTTTATTATACTGATTGTTTAATTTCTAGCTAATTACAGAAGTGTATAACCCAAGTACACTCCAGGGAGAATTAAACTTTTAGAAAATACTCTGAAAAGCATTATAGAAAATCACAAGTATATAAGACCTTTACAATTACCACCTACATATCCACAGGAGATACTTCCAATTTGGAAAACTAAAAGAAAAAGAAAACCACATATTCAGGTGATAGAAAGAAAATAAAACTCTTGTGAGGAGAATGAGGCAGAAAGGGAATGAAGAAACATCAATAAAGTCTGCTAGCCTTTAAGAAAAGACTGGTTCCCTGGCCGGGTAGCTCAGTTGGTTAGAGCGTCGTCCCAATACTCCAAGGTTGCCGGTTCAATCCAGGGTCAAGGCACATACAAGACTCAACCAATGATGCATAAATAAGTAAATCAATAAATCAATGTTTCTCTCCCTCCCCTTCTTTTCCTCTCTCTCTCTCAAGTCAATAAATAAAAATATAAAAAAAGAAAAAGATTGGTAACAGCACACAGTGGGAATAATCGAGAGCGCTTACCCAGTCTGTGGTGAATGGAGCACCATTTGCCATCAATGTTCTCACTTCATCATCTTGGCCTTTTCTTGCTGCTTCTAGCAACCTTTTCCCCAAGTCCACCAAAGACATCTTTATGCATAGGAACAAAAGTTTTCAGGAAGCTGTAACTCAAACACAAGGAGAGTTGCCTAAAAATGTCTTTAGAAGACTCCTTGTACTTTAAAATACTTTTCAAGGTCACTATCGGGTAGGCATTTCTTTTCTACCTCATCATCTAACACTAACAATCAGATATTTGGGAAAGTTTCAGGCCCTAAACAACAGTTCCCTCGCTTCCAATCTCCAGAATAATACTTTGGAAATATGTGCAACACATCACATCACCACCTTTCTAGCTTAAGAGATCAATAAAACAACACTTCATCCTTTTGAAATGACCATGGGTAGAAATATGTTACAGGAAAGAATGACAGACAAACCAAAGTGTATGGCAGACACTTCTTAAAAAATGAACAGAGTGAACCTCCCACTTCAAAGAAAACAATACACAGTATTTATGCCAATTATCAATTATAATTTCAGCTTTCAAGCAAAAATTAGAATTTCGGAAAATATACATCCACCATGAATTGATAGTTTACTACAAACTTTTTGATGAAATTTGAGGTGATACTAATGAATGTGAATTTTTCAATATTGTACCAAACCTTGGATAATCTGCATAATTTGGTGAAGCAATATTTTTCAAATGACCCATGCATGGTATCAAATCATGCAGGGGTAGAAAGAGGGGGAAGAAGATGGCTTTGGAGTAAGTGGAAGTTATACTCACTTCCTCTCAGGTCCGAATTAGAATTACAACAAAATTATAGAACAACCAACCAACTGAAGACTAGCTGAACAGAAGTCTTATAACCAAGTATTTACAGAAGAAGTCACATGGAGACTGGACTATGTGACAGAAGAGCCACATGATGGAAGCAACCCAGATTCCTGAGTTGATTGAAAGAGACCTACTCAAGAAACATGGCACCTGCCCTAGCTGGGTTGGCTGTGGATAGAATGTCTGCCTGCCGACTGAAGGGTCCCCAGGTTCAATTCCTGCCAAGCGCACATACCTCAGCTACAGGCTCATGGGAGTGTACCAGAGGCAACCAATCGATATGTCTCTCTCACATCAATGTTTCTCTCTCTCTGAAAAAGCAATGGAAAAAATATCCTCCAGTGAGGATTAAAAAAAAAAAAAGAATTGTGGCGCCTACATTGGACTTTGCACGATTAAAAGTAAACCTTTATTTCATTTTTAAAAAATCATGCAGGGGTAAAAGATTCATTCAAAGTGAAAAACAGATAAATTTTAGGGTAACAGTATAAAATTTCACTGATACAGTTTCTGATTTCTCATTGCAATTAACTTTTAAGGAAGTATCACTTGTGCCCTGGCCCGCATGCTTCAGTTTGTTGGGAATTGTCCAGTGTACTGGGAGGTTGCTGGTTTGATTCTGGTCACCGGCACATGCCTGGGTGGTGGGCTCCATCCCCAGTAGGGGTGTGTGCAGGAGGCAGCCAACTGATGTTGCACTCTCACACTGATGCTCTGACATGGATGTTTTTCTCTTTCCCTCTCCATTCCTCTCTCTAAAAATCAATAAACTATTAAAAAAAGAGAAAGATGTAGCCTAAGAGACAAGAGGGCAGTCTAGTTCTAAACTCTCTGATTACTAAAAAAAAAGGGAAAACATTCTTCCTTACTGTATGTCCTGCCACTTTCCCTACATATAAAGTGAAGAAACAAAAGTTGATTTAACTTGACCCTTAGGACTTTGAAGATGAACGAAACACCCCCTCCCGAACACACAAGAACTTTCAATAATCAATAGTGTTTTAATAATAGATGAAGTGCTTGAGCTCCTGACAAAGACAGTAATTAGAGAGTAAGTTGGCTGATATGGGAATTTGGGCAGGGCAGCTTTTTCATTGTTATCAAGGCATATATGAAAACAGATGCTTAAGAACATCTCTACTGAACTGGGTGAGTCAAATGGTATGTTGAAAATATGGTCCTAGATGGCCAAAAATATTGTTAAATTGTTGAAGGAAGCCATAGAGTGTCCTTTTCCACAGATGGGGGGGGTAGGGAGAGAGGAAGAGGGGTAAGAGGAGAGAGAAAGGGAGAGAGGGAGAGAAGGGGGGAGAGAGAGAGGGAGGGATCCCTCCTGGGAAGGGAGAGAGTAATGGGGTGATCTCTGCTGGCTCAAGTAAAGCTGTGAGCAGAGAGAAGGCTAACGGGAAGAAGAATTGAAATTGAAGAAACCATGGTCTGACCTTTTTTTTCCTTTTTCTATCACACATGTCCCCACTGAGCCGCCAGCTGTACAAACAACTGTGTAAGAACCCGAGGCCCAGGCCCTGGTGGGGCAGCTCAATCGGTTAGGGCCTCCTCCGGATACGCCAAGGTTGCGCACTGATCCCCAGTTAGGGCACAAAGAAGCATCTACCAGTAAATACATAAGTAAATGGAACAACACAACAAATCGATGTTTCTCTTTCCCTTCCTTCCTCTCTCTTTAAAAAAAGGGACCTGGAGGAGGGGCCCTCAGACTCTGGTTCAGATTAGCGCGCTCACTAATAATCTTTAGGCTATTACTGGGGCGGGAATGAGAATCCCCGTTTTCTCCTCTACCGCAAACCTTCCCAGCGATGTTGTGTCTGCGGAGAAGAGTCACCCGGACAGGGTGTCACTCGGCCCGGGCTCCGCACTGCCCCCTCGTGGTCACCTCCGTGGCCTTGATTTCCCTTGGTCCAGCTCCCCAGCCCCAGGTCTTACACCCACCCCCTTCCTCACCTCCTCCCAGTCCCCTCCCCTTCCTCCCGGCAGCATCCCCTTCCTCTTCGTCCCCCTCCCCCAAGATCCCCCTCTCCGACGAAGGGGCGCCGCTCCGTCTGCACCTAGAAGTTCGGGGCTGGGCTGGGGAGCGGTGCGACTTTTCACCGCACTCTCCCTGCCGGCCCTGACGCCCCCCCGAGTCCACGCATCTCTCCTTCCCCCTCACCTCCTCGTCCGGGACGCTGCCGGCTGCGCTTTCGCCAAACCCGCCAGTTTGGTGCCGTTTCTTTCTCTAGTTTACAATGCCTGTCAGTGACGGTTACTTTTTGGCCTTTTCATATATGCATATTTTGGGGGCCTTTAACCCCCCTCGTGGAGAAATGGAGGCAACAAAATGGCGGACCCGGAAGTGGGGACTGCGAAAATAATTTCTGGCGGAGGGATCTGTGAAGAGAAAATGATTAGAAAATTGAAATTTCCACTTGGACAGAAGGTTGATGCACCCCCGAGGCTCATTTACTATTCAGCGAAAGCATTTGCGGGGCAAAAGCGCGTACCCGGGAAATCCTTGAAGGGACTATTTAGCGAGGCGGAGGATTGTCGATTACGTGTCTTACGTGTCATATAGACCCGGCAGGGGACGGCCCGGTGGTTTGTTTTGGCGCCAAGAATCAGACGAACCGCTGTAGGGAAACCGATTGTGCGTCGGTCCTGCCGCTTTCTGGTCGCTCCTTGGGAGGCCGGCCGTAAGGTGGCTGGGAAAACCTTGCTTCCTGGTCAGCCTAGGGCGAAGCTCACTGGGACGTCCCTGGCTTTGGACGAGAAATGGACTCTGGTGCCTGACGGGCCCATTCCAGTTCCAGCCTGAACGTAAGGACCCTAGAGCTGAGCTGTCAGCACGAACAGCGAAACAGATAACGGAGGCATTTCTCTCGGGGGCCTGGAATAGGATGGAGCCTGAGTGTGCAAATCCATTCAGGCGGATTATTTACCGAACAGTTGTGTCCCATCTCCACCCACCAAACGCCGGGACTGGAGGACAGACAGCAAGGAGTCAGGAAAGAAGTCCTTCAAAAACAAGTAAAGACAGGAAAGGACACGTCACTGAGCCATTCTTTGTTAGATTTTGGCTTTTGACGTGTATTATTGGCCTTTCAAAGCCCACGAGGAAGATTTACGTGGCGCTCCCTTTTCTGAACTTACCTAGATCGTGTTCCTGTCACCTTTAAAGTACTTAGAGCATATTGCCCAGGTACTGTCCATCTCGGTATTTACCGCCTCCCTTTTTGAGAGTCAAAATCTTGTTTCATTCCTGTTCACATGTTGTCTGGCATAGTGCCTTTCATAGAGGAGGCACCCAGAAACGACTTGTAAATTAGTACAAATGGTTGTGTTTCCTTAAAGAGTTTTAAGCAAGCAGATAACACATTTGGGTGAATTCGTTTATTTTCTCAGGCACCTGTAAGTGCCACAGGTGCCTCCCGAGGCCGCTAGAATTACTACCTCAAATGTGTGGGTGGTCAGTGTGCAAGCAGAATGGTTGGTCGCAGCTTTCTCCCTAAATCATTTTAAGTTGATTTCACCCTTTTTCTTGTTACCTGCCTGTTCAACCTGAAGTTCATCATTTTAGTGTATAAAGGCTACTCAAATCGTTCTTCCTCAAAGTTGAATATTAGAAAGAAAAGAATATATGAGCTGAATGCGAAAGCAAGGCTAACTTTTGAGATCTATACTGCTTTCCTATGGGGAGAGAGAAAACTAGGATGCAATCCTGGGATTGAATGTCTTTATTAAATAAATGAGTAAATGGCAGCACAAATCAGCAGCAAAAATTTTGGAAGGAGTGGGAACAGGCTGAAGGTCAGAATGTGATTGTTCATTTCATGGTCTCAAGGTAGCTGAAGAACTGTGCCTGAGGCCCATTGATTAAGATACATTGCAAACGCAGGCGGGCAAGTCTAAAGTACTACAGACCAAACCCTATGACTTTTAGAAACAGAATCAAAACCTTACCAATTATCATAATAGTCAGCAATATTGCATTGTAAGATTTGAAATTAATTGTCCTCAGAAATTACTGAGCAAAATAGTCAAGTGAGTAGGCTATTTTGAAATGATTCAGGGCTTCCCCTGTTTTTATTTTCCAAGACATATTATTCCCTCTTGTTTTATACCTTTATCCCCAGTTTCTGAGAAAGAGTATATTACAAGAAGGAGCAGAATCAAAACAGCAAGTTTGTCTTATTACCTTAGCTTTTTAGAAATCCTACTGTCTTGTAACAGATAACCTCAAACTAAAATTTACAAGGTATTTATCAACTCTTGAAGAAATATTTGTGTTTACTGGCCTAGAGCAGGAAATTAGGAAGGTTTGAACAATCTCTAGAGCTGATTAAAATGAGGTAAAAGAAATCCTTCCATTTTACCCTACTATACTACTCTCTGGTGCCCCCATCAGGCCTGTTTTCTGGAATTAATATGGAGTAGGGAGGAGGAATCCCTGTGACCCAGTAAGTACTCCACTGCTTGAACCCTTTACTTTGTGGCTTGAGGGCTTTTGAGAGAAACTGATACATTAAATAAATAATAAATAAATAAATACAACACAACTCCGGCAGATTCATCAGCACCACCTCAACACAGTGGAGGGGAGAGAGCAAGATTAATAGGGGAAAAAGGTGGAAAGAAAGGGGCTTCAGAGGGAAGACAATGAGGGCAAGGTGGTGGGAGAGAGAAATCTTGGGCTTAGAGCAAGTCCAATTCGAAGGAATGGATGCTGGCAATGGGAGCTCTCCAGAAGTTGAAGGTGCTGTACTGAAGGAGGGGATCACCTTCAGGGCTTTTCTCCTGCTCTATTTCGGTCGCTTGCCCCGTCATTTTGCCAGCGCTGCTGTCCTTGACCTTGTAGGTAGATGTATCCGACAGACCCAGGCTTTCCAGCTCCGACAGATCCAGTTCAGGAATGGGCATCCTCCAGAAAAGAAAGGAGCTGTACTGGCTACTCACAGGGTCCCTCATAACTTCCTAGAAAGAAACCACTTGTCAGTCTTCGTGGTACAGCAAACTCTTTGTGGTCCATGGCCTTTCCTTACTTAGAATCTTGACATCCCCATTTGCCTCTATACATAACCCAAGTTCCCTGGTAAGCTTCAGGAACCCTTCCTCTGTTACCATTTTCTACTATTTCCTAACTTCTCTCCAACTTGGAATGACTTATTTACTTCCTACTGCTTCAAGTCAATCTTGAGGCTGGTTTTCAAGGCCTTTCACAATCTGGCCCTATTTTTCCTAGTAGTGGTACATGCTCTGATACAGTTCTGCTCATTACTAACTTGCTTAACTCTCTCCACTTTCCATCTTAAAATACTACCCAAGTTTCAAGACTACACTCAAGTCCCTAGGGCCTAGAGGAATCTTTCCCCTGAACTCCTATTATGTTTCCAAATACGGAACTTCTGCCTTTGGTTTAATAGGTCATGGTACCTCTAAAAAGGGCTTCCACGACAGTTTGGTTTTCTCTTTTCCTCCCTGCCTTCTAAGCCCTACTATAGCCCTAGCCGGGTAGCTCAGTTGGTTAGAGCATTGTTCCAACATGCCAAGATTGTGGGTTTGATCCCCAGTCAGGGCACATACAAGAATCAACCAATGGCCCCGGCCAGTTGTGGCTCAGTGGCTAGAGCATCGGCCTGCACACTGAAGGGTCTTGGGTTTGATTCCCGGTCAAGGGCACATACCTAATGTTGCAGGTTCCATCCCTGGCCCCAGTCTGGGTGCCTGTGGGAAGCAACCAATTGATGTGCTCTCTCACATCAATGTTTTTCTCTCTTCCCCCCGCCCCCCCTACCTCTCTAAAAAAAAAAGAATCAACCAATGAATGAATAAATAAGTAGAACAACAAATTGCTGTTTCTCTCTCTCTCCCTCCTCTCTAAAATTAAAAATAAACCCTATTATAAACTCACCTCTTCCAGGAGGATTTCCTTAAACTTAGCTCCAACTACCCATTTCTTCTAGCATCTAACTTACCACTCTACTTTTATCTGACTATATTAGTTTGGAGTTACAGATCACTGTTACAAGTATAGGGATAGTCTTTATCTCCTTCAAGAAACTGAGAGTATCCCCAAGGGTAAAAACCAGTCTACTTTGTACTTTCTTCACAAGTGCTGGGCTTTGCACACAAAAGACATTCAAGGCTGCTGATTAATTTTCCCTCACTATTTAATACAATGAATACCTTGCCACTCCCATCTATTAGTACACAGATAAGCCTTAACAGCCTATCTATTTCTCTCTCACCTACCTCTGCTTCAGAACAAAACCCAGGTGCTAAAAGAACTTTCCTTTGCTATAATAGGTCTCTTTTCTCTGGTCACAATGCTAGAATATATCTGATGATAGTGAAAGCAAATGGATTGGAAACTCCAGGTAAGTAAGGTAAAGTTTAGATTGGAAGGAGAAGGTCCTTTAACAGAATTATACACTTTTCCATACTTTAATGAGTACTTCTATCACCTTTTCTGCTCATCCCACTCACACCCTGGTGTTATATGACTATTCTACCTCCCTGCAGCCTCCATCCTGCTGCTTACTAGCCAAGAGAGGGGCCAGAAACATTAGCTGAAATGTTCCCAAAGGAGCAGAAAGAACATTCCACCGCCTCCAAAAATAGAACCCTGTTTCAAAAGGACTTCCTCCAACACACTCCATTGACCCTCATCGGGCCTGGAGATGCCTAAATAGTGGCCTAAAATAGGCTCCAAAATATGTTAGGCAAACATAACCAGCCCTGGCCAGTGTGGCTCAGAGGTCAGAGCATCAAGCCTGAGCACCAAAGGGGTCAGGGATTTGATTCCTGGTCACGGGCATATATACCTGGGTTTCAGGTTCGAACCCTGGCCCTGGTCGGGGTGCGTGCGGGAGGCAACCAATCAATGTTTCTCTCTCACATAGATGCCTCCCCTTCTCTTGTTCTCTAAAAAAAAATGGAAAAATAAAGTATCCTCGGGCCAGAATTGACCAAAAAAAAAAAAAATTTCTAAAAAACAAACAAAAAAACATGATAACCAGTATCCTACAGAAACCCTATCAGCCCATATAATGTGAAATGTCTCTATTAAGGCAGGAAAAGAATGCATTAATCTAGAACATGTTTGTTTGAGTGTGGGGGCTTTAGGAGGGGTGAGTAGGTAGACTCAATGTTTTTAAAGTTAAAAGCGAATTCTGAGTTGCTCTCTTCCTTCTTAGGTTCAAGTTCCAAAATAAACCCTAAGCAGAGAAGCTGCCTAGGAGTGTGATTCAGGAACTGAGACACAGTGGGAACATGTTGGAAAGGTGAGGTCATCATCCTATGATATTCAGCTCTGATCATCTCCACAATAATTTGCAGAGATGTGCACAGAAAGAGTTACAAAAAAATGGTTGTACCTGTCAGCCAATTAACCAGGGCTTAGGTCTGGGGTTATAGAGATCCTAAGAAGCAAACCTTAGGAGACAATAGTGTTACTTTTGCCCACAGGGATTTTTTACTAATATTACCAGTTATTTGCCTACATAGTTGGCTTCTTTTATATCCCATCCCTTACCAGTTTTCTCCAGTGAGAGCTTAGTATAATTCTGGGCAAATATAATAGGCTCTTTAAAAAACAGAATCATAAGGGGAGGAGGGGGGTATCATAGACTTCTAGAACTAGAAAACACCTTAGAAATTATCTAGTGACTTGTGAAGCCTCCCAGCCAAGTTTGGATAGAACCCAGGTCTCATAATTCCCAGTTTGATCTTTTTTGGATGTGTTGTACATAGATAGTTGCCTACAGCTTTATGTAATCCTATACCAATATTCTCAAAATTGCAAGAATTCTTAGTTCCTGAAGAGCAGATCATCAATGGTTAGGTGTTGATTGTTCCTATGGTTCTGATCTGAATGGGGAATATGCAGAAAGGCATGGAGAACAAGCTGGAATCTGAGAAAGGGAAAAAGCTCTGACAAACTGACCCCTGTTCTTATAGCCAGCATATGTATCAAAGCTGTCCGATCCCTGAGTATCTGGCAGAGCTTCTCTTGACAATTACAAAAACTAAGGGAAATGTCATGAAATATTAACTTAAAATATCTAGGTATGACTCAGAAACATGTACAGAGTACCAAATGCATTCTAGAAAGATACTCATACAAGCATTAACAGCATTTAAAATCAAGTCAAGAGCATTGACTACACAGAAAATTGAAGCTAACATACCCTTTACATTGATAATGAAATTTTAAAATTTAATACTGTATGAATTTAATTCCCAAGTACCTAAATTTTGCAAGAGGTCTCTTTTCAGCTAGCTTTCTTTCCCCTTCCCCATTTGCTTGATTAGCAAATATTTATAAAAAGACTCTTGGAGCCACGTAGACACGCCCAAATACCCTTTGTCCAGACACTCAGTGGGAATCCAAGGTCTACTGAACCAGGCCTTGCTGTGTCATGCTGCCATAATGGGGTGGAAGGACAGGGATGGTGATGGTGGGGAATGGAAGCACTCTGGCATCCTCATTATATGTGCCTCGTTCTGGCTTGGATTTTTTTTATTAGCCATGTCCTTCCCCCACCTATTCCACTGAGCTGCAAATAAGCATTCCTTTTCCAGATTCTGCCCCTATACCTCGCTCTTGTGGGCTGTACTAATTCAATATCAGATAGTTCTCCAACACAGAGGCCCCCACCTTCCTACCACAAACTGCTTCTTTCTTTGGAGCAAAGGTTTGAGATGGGAGGGGACTGTTAAAAGAAAGGTGAGGATTAATCTCAATATTATCTCATATCCCTTCCCCCAAACTCCCTCCTATGGAGACAAGTTTGGGGTGAGGGTAGTCACATCAATAGAACACTACAGAAAAAGAAATGGAAATAGAGGCTAGAGCAGTACAGTAGGACTAGAGATTCATCAAAACAAAACAAAAAACCCCACACAAATTATAGCTTGAAAGGAAGACAGAGATAACTAGACTGAAGATAAAATACACAGGACAATAAATTATAGGCAAATAGGTACTTGAAATAAGGAGATAAATGCTTAGAAATAACTACACGTAAATTGTTAAAAATTAATGTCTGTGTTCAGGATTATAAGGCATGGATGGAGATGTGAGCAAGAGATGTAAAACGGTGAACAAATGACAAATTAACCACCCGTTGTTCATAGCGGCTCCTTCTTTCCTCTTGAACTGTCAGTCCCCCAACCGCATCCTTCTTTGGGGCCCTCATCCTAACCAGAAGCAGCTGCTCTTCTATCTTTGCAGCCCCTTTTCCCCTCCCTCAGTTTAGTTTACCTGTTATCAGTGAATTACTAGTGTGTGTTCCAAAGATGGAGGGACGACCCCGAGGCTCCGGTCCCTGCCCTGGGCTGGAGAGAAAGGCAGCAGTGGGGGCTTTGCCGGCTTTGTCTTCTCCTCCCTCTGGCTCTCTGCGCGGAGTCGATCGGCTCCGTCTCCCCCTGCAATGCAGCCCCTCCTAAGGCCGGCGGAAGGACTCCCCGCCCCTCCCTGCCTGACTCGGCTAATTCAAACGATAGGTGCCAGAGCACTTTCGGGAGGGAGACGGGATGGAGGCATCCCCGTTGGTTTATTGGTCAGCAACCCCCCTCCCCCAACTGAATAAGCAGTTAATTGTACTCTGGGTTTAGATTTATGGATTAAAAATCTTAACCCTAGACATAAATGGAGAAGTGCCCCTTTATCCCCCAATTTAAGGATTTCAGGTTAAGAAGTGTTTTTGAGAATCAGGAAAATTCTCTATCCCTCCCTCCAATCCCTACTCCTCCCGACTCGCCTCCCCACCTTCCTAATGGGTAAATACGCCGAGCCCCGTTCCATTTGGGGTGGATCACATTAGATTGGGGAGGGGGTGCGTCTGAGAAACTCGGAACTTGGTAGGGTCCGGGGGATTTAGGGGCTCCGCTTCGTTTTGCTCCGCAATGCCCGGCGCACAAAGAGAACGTGTGATTCCGGGGGGCCCAGCTTGGGTGCCCGGCCCGCACCGGAGGGCCCACACTCCGCAGGGCGCCGAGCAGCGGCGGCGGCCCTCGGGGGCC